ATGGTGGTTGGAGGTAGTCAACAGGAAACCCTGGACTCGGATTTTGGTGCTGCTTGGCACTCGTCAGCAAGTTGTACCTGTAATCTTAAGGGAACTAGTGCTCCCTGATAGATTCGATCACGTGTCACCCAGCTTCACAGTCAGAGACGTTACCACTGAGCTATCCGGGAGGTGACTGACCGATAGCATTTGATCTGAACTAAAAGGACTTGACACATATGACACTGATCACCACCCAGTGATCAACCTATTGTGGTTGCATCTCAGTCCTACAGGAGGTCGGTCGCAGCCCGGATAGCTCAGTAGCAACGTCTCTGACTGTGAAGCTGGGTGACATGTGATCGAATCTGTCAGGGAGCACCAGTTCCCTTAAAATTACAGGTACAACTTACTGACGAGTGCCAAGTAGCATGAAACCCGGGTCCAGGGTTTCCTGTTGACTACCTTCAACCACCATTTAATCTCACAATAGTGCAAGCAGTGTCAAGTCACCTAGACTTGTGGCCACATTGCAACGTGATCGATAGCATTCGATCTGCACTAATAAGCACTTGACACACATGACATTGATCACCATTCAGTGATCAGTCAGTTGTGATATTTGTATTATACTCTAGGTTAGATTCTCATAGAATGAATAGAATAGTAACTCAACCTAGTCGTATGTAACCAGTGCTTCTTTGATACCCTTCGCTTTTCTAAGAATCAAGAATATTAGATATTTTCTAATTAGTGAATTTAATAGTTGAATTCATGAGTTGATTAAAGTTAGATCACCATAGAAAACCTGGAAGCACTGAACGGCCGTTTCTTTCTAGTATGGGACTCCTTAGCAGTGTGCATCCATGATCTCACACTCGGGATTCCAACCTATGACTTTCGGTCTAGTGTGTGAACACATAACATCTAGACCATTGAGCCGACGTCCAACGGTGTTAATGTCTAACTTCAATCAATCTATGAAATTATGTCACCGTCTAATATTATCGTCAGTAAGTTACTGTTTCATAACATATGAAACAGCCATCCAGTGCTTCCAGGTTTTCCATGGTGATCAAGCTTCAATTAACTCATGATTTCAACTATTGAAATTACTACAATCTCCACAAAGTCTCTTCTGATGATAATTTTTTTTAGCCTGTCTAGAACGTTAAGACACATACTTAATTTTGATTTGTTTAATGAATGAAAAAAACAAACTGATCAATAAAATTGTTTTAAACAAACACACAAATTGTAAATCAATTGAGAAATTTTATATGATCGATCTAAAATATCGATTTCCATTTAGCACTTTTTTATTGATCGATACTAGTATTAATAGTTGAATTAAACAATTCATAAACTGTATCCATCTATTGTTAATATAGTTTAAAATAAACAATTTGAAGAAAATTAAGAGAGACTATAATTTATGGACGACCTTCGAGTGACGCTAAAGTGACCTTAAGAGTGTCTACCTAGTTACTAGAGCTAAATGAGGGTTATAAAACAGTTTAAAGAATAAGGACTATAATTCACAGTTGATGGTTAGGATTAGAAATTAGGTTTGGAGTTTTCATCATGAACTGACATCAGCTATAATGCCAAGACTCTAGTTGGCTAAATGGATGAATGAATTCCGCGTCAAAATCTAAGACCTGTTATCTTATATCTGATTGGTTCACTCATAAATTATAGTATCGCTGAAAATTAGAACATTTCACCTCATTGATGACTTGTAGTAAACGAGAGCACAACTGGAGACAATCGAATGTATTCGAATACAAAATTATAGAATCTCTTGGTAAAAGCTGAAAATCATACAGTAAATACTTCATTTGTAAATTGTCAGCCAATTGTCTCATACTTCACTATTCCTCTATATTCATATCAATTGATTTCAATTCCCGTTCTTTTCTCCTCGATCTTCTTGACCTTCTGCTGCCAGACAATCTATTCCTGACTAGTGTTAGATAGTATTTATATCGATATAAGTAGAAAACACCACACACTCACACATAAGCATGATATTTTCGGAACAAATTGTAAACATTTCAACTTATACACATTCACAGCATCTATCGATTAATTTAGCTTACGTGTAGTGATTATCTCAACTTAACATTCACCCATCATGCATACGTTTTGTGAAAATGATAATTGTATAATGACAATGGCATTCTTATAGTATTCAGTCTAAGTAATTTGTTTTTATTCTACAACATAATAAAAAGTTTTGACAGGCTATAATGTTTTAATTCATTAAAAATAAAACTAACTAAACGGTTCGATTATTTTCAAAGACTTCTAAAACAATATCAAGATTCTATTGTTTAATATATTATCTTACTAGTTGGATCTGGGTCGTGAGGTCGCATGCCGCTGCTTGTTAACGGTTTTGGTTACGATCAGGACGTGTTTATCTCGGTGTAGTGAATGTGCAGCCTTTCAGTCGTGTCTGTGTTAAATGGGTGCTGGTGGGTTGACAAGTTCGTCTTGTTGACCTGTCGGGATGCTTTCGGATGCCTTTAAATGGCTGTCGGGAGCGGACAGCATCTTTACTGAAAATTCTTGCATGGAATAATGAAATAGGACTTCGGTTCTATTTTGTTAGTTTTCGGATCCGAAGCAATGATTAAGTGGGACAGACATGAGCATTTTTACGGCGGTGTTAGAGGTGAAATTCTGGGATTGCCGCCAGACAAACTACAGCGAAAGCATTTGCCAAGAATGTTTTCATTGATCAGGAGTGAAAGTCAGAGTTTCGAAGACGATCAGATACCTTCTTAGTCCTGACCATAAAATATGTTAACTGACGATCCACGTTGGTTCTATAATTGACATTGCGGGCAGTTCCGGGGAACCTTTAATTATTTGGGCTCCGAAGAGCGAATGGTTGCAAAGCTGAAACTTAAAGGAATTGACGAAAGGGCACCACCAGGAGTGGAGCCTGCGGTTTAATTCGGCTCAACACGGGAAAACTCACCCGGCCCGGACACTGTGAGGATTGACAGATTGATAGCTCTTTCTTGATTCGGTGGGTGGTGGTGCATGGCCGTTCTTAGTTGGTGGAGCGATTTGTTTGGTTAATTCCGATAACGAACGAGACTTTAACCTGCTAAATAGTAGACTGGTCCTCTGTGCTCGTTTAGGGCGCGGCTGGTGCGGTGCCAGTTTTTACTTCTTAGAGGGACAAGCGGCACACTTAAGTCGCACGAAATTGAGCAATAACAGGTCTGTGTTGCCCTTAGATGTCCGGGGCCACACGTGCGCTACAATGACGGTGCCAGCGAGTCTGGAAACCCGTCCCGAAAGGGTTGGGAAAACTGTTTCATCACCGTCGTGAATGGGATCGGGGCTTGCAATTATTCCCCGTGAACGAGGAATTCCTGTTAAGTTCAAGTCATAAGCTTGAAGTGATTACGTCTCTGTCCTTTGTACACACCGCCCGTTGCTTCTACCGATTGATTGGTTTAGTAAGGTCATTGGATTGGTGTCGTTGTAGTGGCTTCGCCGCTCGACTGATGCTGAGAAGATGACCTAATTTGACTATTTAGAGGAATTAAAAGTCGTAGCAGGGTTTCCGTAGATGAACCTGTGGAAGGATCATTATCATGACTCAAAAATATCTAATGATTCATGCACCTGGCTTCATGCTGGACTGCATGTACCCTGGATTGGTAGTTATTACCTTAGGCTTCAATGGTTGTATAATTGAATTCATGAATTGATCTAAACCAGACTACTATTGAAGACCTGGAAGCCACTAAATAACCGTTTCGTTCTAGTATGAAACTTTTCAACAATGTGTATTCATAATCTTTCATCTCACAAGACCGAAGGTTCTGGGTTCGAATCCGTCATGCAAGATCGTGGATGCGCACTGTTAAGGAGCGAAATGGCCATCTAATGATTCCAGGTTTTCAACAGTAGTTTAATTTCGATTGACTCATGAATTCAACTAATAAAATGATTACAATCTCCACAATCTCTCATTCTCTTAATAATATATGATTCACTAGTAATGACATTTGTCCAATTTCAATGATATTATAAACTCTTTAAACTTATTTTGAAGCTTCCGTAAACAAATTTCTACAATAAATAGTAAACAATAAGATGAATAAATAAATAGATAAATAAACAATTGATTGGCCTAGTCAAATATAATTCACCTTCATATATACATCTATCTATACATTATACATTAAAATATACATATAAAATGTATTTGGTAAATAAACAACAAAAAGTAGTCTAAATCTGACAAACAGAGTAAAAGTAAAACTATAAATAAAAAAAAAACAAAAAAAAAACGATTCTAACAAATAAGTTTTCTGTTGTGTGTGTGTGTATGTGTATTTTTTGTTTTTGTTTTGTTTTTTTTTTCTTTTTTATACACACTACCCTACGATCATAGGACACTTTATTTGATGACATTCATGTGATGATTAGTAGTGATGTATATAGTCACGTGTTTGTTTGTGTTTATATCTATTCTAATTATTATAATGTGTTCATTAGTAACGTAATTAAAATTTAAGAGAAAAAAGAAGAAAAATAAACCACAACCATAATGATAATACTTTAGTCATAGTGATTATAAGACTTTGTTGCTGAGTAACAGTGATTAGTTGTTACCTTATTGTATTGATTATATATATATATATATATATATATATATATATATATATATATATATATATATATACATAAAAAGCGTGGACGTATACAATTAAAATATTGGCACATGTATATATATATGAGTTGAAAAATTTACCTTTTCATTACGTAAACATCATGTATATATATATATATACACGATCACACATGTTCACCAATTCACATTTATATGTATATAGAATAGTTTCAATGAATTGTTAAGATCTCCTGTTATATACACTTGACAACATCAATATCATTTGAATAATAATAATAATAAAGGAAGTAATTATATTGAATAGTGATTATCAAACGATTATTATTACATAAACTAGAATTATTTTATTGAATGTTATATGGGGTCAAAAATAATTGCATTGATTGTATGTTTACCATTATTACTATTATTTATTGCATTGGGACTTGCAATTTTCTATTGTTTACGTTCAAGAAAACGTATTCGTAAGTTTATTATTATAATTTTACCCCCCCCCCCTGTTTTTTGTTTTAAAAAATTATTTTTATTATGTTTTAAATTTATGTTGAATAGCAATGGTTCAATTCAAGATAGGATAGATAGTTTGTTGTTGATAAAGAGTTAAGTAAATATTGTTTATATTTAATTACTTTTTAAGATACTTTGAATAGTTGAGATCATGTCAGTCAGTCAGTTAGTCAGTGACAACGAAGAACTTCGTACATACGTATATCAGTTCGAGTTGTCATACCATATAAGCACACAGATACAATTATCGATTCAAATCCCGTAGTGGTAGAAGTAGTAAAAGTATAAGTAGTAATCGGAAAGATTAAGGTTTGAAGATGTTATTCAAGAGGTATGATCTAGTGATGAAATAAATTTGGAAACAGAGAATAAGGGAATTCAGAAGATTAGAATTTGGGAGAACACAAAGAGTGGATATACCTGTACCATTGCAAACGATTTTGAACCATGTCATTCAAGGTGTCTAACCATGGGATCCAAACCAGGTAGTCTACACCTACCAACATGGCTCAATCCACTTGTCTGTGACTTCATGGATTTGTGCCATGTTTCGGTTTGGCTGCCCTAGCTTTCTTCCAACCTACTCCTATACCATAAAACATCGCACATCGAGGCAGTTGGTAGTCGGGCATACGTTACACATGTCCCAGCCATTTCAACTGATTAAGTTTCACTACTTCGTCAATTGATTTGCCATTCTTACCTAGTACCCGTTTCCTAACAACTGAGTTACTTACTAGGTGGTCCGAGGATATAGGAGAAATGCTTCGAAGACACCTATGATCGAATACTAGTATTCTACGAATATCTACTCTTACCGGCTATGTTTCACAGCTATAAAGTAGGATGGAACGAACTGCTACGCAGTAAATTGAGGCTATACCACCATGGGAAATGTGAAAGCACTGGATGGTGGTTACGTCCTATTGTGGGACTCCTCTGTGGCAATGCGTATCCACGATTCCGCCTTGCGAGACTCGAACCCAGTACCTATCAGTCTCGCAACCGAGAGCTTAACCTCTACAGCACTGAGCTAGTGGGCATCCAACAGTGTTAATGTCTAACTTCAACTAATCCACAAAATTAAAGAGACACATCCACGATTGTCTTCAGTGAGTTACTATCTCACAACAGACCCGGATGAACTGCACTGGTCACTGCTTCTTACTAGAACTTCAGGAAATAACTCATTGAGACCGTCACTAGTGAGCATATGTTGATTAATATCAGAAAGGGTTTTGTGGGTATTATAGTAATTTTAATAGTTGAGATCATGAGTCAATTGAAGCTAGAACTGAACTATTAAAATTAATATCATATCCACAAAACCCCTTCTGACATTTTTAAGATGTTTGATGAAATTAACAAACACATCAGTTGTGTAGGCACACATGAGATTCTATTTTAATGTAAAAGCCAAATTACGAAAAACACCTGCTACTGATGTATATAGTATATTTGGAATGTTTATTACATCTTGTATGTACTTGATATGATTCAAGGCGTAATGAAGACTATTTGTAAGGGTCTACAAATGTCACTACTATATAATAATCTAATCAATACAGAAATATTACTCATAGATGCATGTTAAATACAATCAGTGACGATCATCCATGCAAATGATTGGAGAGTGTATAGATAATAATCATCGGATTATCATTCGTAAGTGATATTTCATCGATCCTACAACTAATGTCCATATCCAGTAATTTTGGGGACAATACAATCACGATTAAATAACTATTATCTACTTTACTAAGTTTTTAGTATTAAAATGAACTGAAGTTATGTATACGACCTTCTGTACCATATATGAGTTGATTTTAATACCGATGAAACTTCTATGTTTTCTGTAATGAATCAATTTATAATACCTACATTCTGATTAGTTAAAGCGCTGTTCGAATTCGTCAATATTATAAACCTTACTCAAGATCACTGAGCAGGGGGAAAGTAGTGGTAGTCTAGTGAACAGAACATGAGTGGGGAACAAATAGATCTTGTTAATAAAATCTAACAACCACATAGTAAAGACTCAATTTGCAAAATGTCCATCGATTGTCTCAAAATGACTCCGACTTCATTGTTCTTGCATTTTCATACAAATTGCATTCTATCTTCATTCTTCACAGTTCGATCTTCTTGTCTCTCTGCTCTCAGACATTCTGTTCACGACTAACATCATATACTACTTGTGTCTACATAAGTAGCACACATCACAGTAGGAGAAATTATGACAAAATTATCTAAGCCATATCTAACATTTTATGCAATTGATTTGAGAATATGGTCAATATTTCTTATTTTATATTACATCCATTCAAGTATCAATGAGTAATTTATCCCTGATGGTCTTCAATGGATTGGGATGAGTTTTATGACATATTGGACTTTATACTTTGTTGAGAGATATCAGTAAAGAATGTTTTCTTTCTAATCAAAACTAAAAGTTTCGAATGAATATGAAATTACATCAATGATTAATAGATTTTCAGTTCGGGATTGTGGAGATTGTTGAATTTTATTTTGATCATGAACCAGTCAATTTTAGACCACCATTAAAAACCTGAAAGCACTGGGTGGCCGTTTTGTCCTGGTATGAGGCTATTCAGCAGTGAGCATTCACGATCCCGTATGTAGGAATCGAACCCATGGCCTTAAGTCACGCACAACTCTTAACCTCTAGATCACTGAGCTGGAATTTAACAGTGTTAATGTCTAAATTCAACCAGTCCACTATGTTGCTCGACAATCTTTCATAATCTTCGAAAGATGACTGCTGCACACCTGATTTTGTGAACAGCTGTATTACAAAATACCACATGACTTTGAAGTAGCACATCAGAAGATCAGATATTATTCTTATCCAAACACATATATAAATATTTTTCGGAAACGATGTGATTGATGACGGTTGCGCAGTACCGTGAAGTTAGACATGCACATCAATAAGTTACTGCTCAGTTCTCGAAAGGTTAAGCTTTTGCACCCGAAACTAAAGGTACTGTGTTCGATTCCCGGACGCGGGATTGTAGATACACATTACCATTGAAAAGTTCCATATGAGAACGAATTGGCCTTCCAGTACTTAAGGTTTTCAATAATGGTCTAGTCAATTTCAGTTCGTGATATGAACTGTAAAAATCTTATGATCTGTTGCACAAATCCCTTATACTAATAATTTCATTTAACGAGTAAGAATCTCAGGAGTTCACGTACGTATGTCAACAAAAACTGATTAAAATTCAGTCAAAATAATTAACAGGGCGATTCTTTAAAGCATTAAATATTAGATGTTAAGCAAGTGCTCCTTTTTATCCAAAAAACTATTCATATTTACATAAATAATTATATAAGCATATCAATAAGGGGGATTTGTCGAGATTGTAGTATTTCTTTTACAATAGTTGAACTCACCAATCAAATTTAAGCATTTGAGCGCGAGACCGAAAGTCATGGGTTCAAGTTTTGAGTGCAGGATCATGGATGCGTACGGTTAAAAAGTTCCATATTAGGACGAAATAACCGTCCAGTACTTCCATGATTTTCATGGTGATCTAGCTTCAAGTGTCTCATAAATTCAATTAATAAATCATAACAAATTCAGTTTAGTTTGAAAATGTAGGAATTATTAATTCATTCAAAATTTTTAACAGTTGAATTCATGAGTCGATTTATTCTAGACTATTACTGATAACCTAGAAGGAATAGATGATCGTTTTATCTTAGTATGGGATTCTTCAGCAGTGCACATCTACAATCTCGCATATGAGATATGAACTCAGAATTCTACAATAATTCATTCAATAAATTCCTGTAAAGATTTAAGGCAAAATTTTAACTAGAATCAAGTGTTAATTTTAGCTACTGGTATTAATATTTACTACAGTTGTTAAGTACTTGATATGTATTATTTAATGCAAAATTAAGACTGTAATTGGTGACTGATTTAGTTACTAACCCCCCCCCACTAGATGATATCCACAATAATAATGATACCTTACATATCATTTTTAAATATTCAATCAATTTAAATCAATGAAACTAGCTATTAATCAATAATTCAATATGTGGTTATAATTTGTAAAAATCAATAAACTTAATTGATTTAAATGAAAAATAGAATTATCAGTATAAAGTTGTAGAAATGGTTGTCAATTTTGAATCGATTGATGTTAGACCATTATTGAAAACCTGGAAGCAGTGGATGGCAATTTCGTCCTAATATGGGACTCTTCATCAATGTGCATCCACAATCCTACACGGTCGCGTAATATTAATACAGTTGGATGTCGGATCAATGGTTTACAGGTTAGGCTTTCGTGCGAGATGGAAGGTCCTGAGTTTGAGTCCCGTGTGCAGGATTGTGAATGAATAAAGTAAGTTACTGTTGTAGTTTATACATTATAACAAAAAAGAAAGCAGAAATATAAATCTTGCCCAGAATGATATTAGGATGATTATCTTCTTTAGATGATTAATAAAAGTGTATTACTTAACATTTTCAGGTATTTTTCCGTTTGTTTAGTAAGTGATGAATATAGGAGTGTAATTTCCCTTGAGTATTTCATTACAATCATTTAAAGTTATCTACATGTGCTTTCGATGAGCATACTACTGTAGCGCATTCCAAATTCTCTAATTGAAGAACCAAATAAAATGTGAATAACAGCTTGAAATAAAATTCTCAGTGAATATCATGTTCTTATATGCAGCATCTCATTCAGTAAATGAACGAAGGATCATCTGAAGATGTTTGAAACTGCACATATTTTGAGCATTTAAAAGTGATGGCACTACAAATTCACGGCGCATACCCAACGAAGCTAAATATTCTGGAACAAGTTAGGTTTCTTGGTTTAAGAAAGTTTCGTCTACTATAACTATTTCATAAAATAGTAGGCTATAAAGTGTTTTGTATTTTTTGCTTCTTGGAAATCTTTCTTCAATAAATGTTGGCTGATGTAGGAGTATGTTTGAGGCTTCACTCAATGAATCCATGAATTGTTAGGTTGAGGCTTATTGGTAGGTGCAGATCAACTGTTTGGAATATGTGAGGTCGTTATTATCAATTTTTAGATTATGGTAGATGATATGATTGAAAATCATTAACAATGGAGCAAATGTATTCACTCTTATTCTTACCTTGGATCCTGAAATTCAAAATTCATAATTTCTTCACAAATTAGACTTTATTTCCCTAATCTTTTCTACCATCATTGAAAGCTTTATTACTGTTATTTCACTTTTTTTTTCATAAGTCGATGTAAGCTAAACTAGTATTGAAAACCTGAAAGTACTGTACGACCGTCTCGTCCTAGTACGGGACTCTCTGTTAATGGAGTTCAATCCATATCGGGTAGAGTAAGGTACTTATCTCAGACAATGGATAAATGATTGTGCAGCCATTTATGGATTGATGGAAGTTAGACATTAATAGTGTTGAATGTCAACTCAGTGATCTATAAGTTAGGTGTTTGTGCATGAAAACGAATGTCCTGAAATCGAATCCTAGATGCAGGATCATAGATGCGTATTACTAATGAGTTTCATACTAAGACAAAATAACCATCTAGTACTTTTAGGTATTCAATGGTGATCTAACTTACATCAACTCATGAATTCAACTATAACATTCATTTTGATAATGAATTTTTACTTGGTAAAAATCGATCAAAAAATCAATAAATTTCTTTCTGCAAAGGTAAATTAAATGTAAATTTATAATGTACTTTTAAATTAAGAAGTAATTTATTCTCATTCACCTGATTATCATTACAAAAAAGATGAAACGGAAAGCATTCCGAATTGGAATTAATATAAATAGAAGTATACATAAGACAATTAGAATAATATAGTAACAATAGTTTATGTATATATATAAAGATTACTTACTTACTTACTTACTTACGCCTGTTACTCCTCGTGAAGGAGCATAGGCCGCTCACCAACATTCTCCATTCAACCCTGTCCTGGGCAATCCTTTCCACCTATTTCCAGTTGTTATTCATCCTTTGTAAATCTGATTCTGTTTCCCCACGTAATGTGTTCTTCGGCCTTCCACTTTTCCGCTTCCCTTCAGGATTCCAGGTTAGGGCTTGCCTCGTGGTGCAGTTTGATGATTTCCTCAATGTATGTCCTATCCATTTCCATCGTCTTTTCCTAATTTCCTCTTCAACTGCAGCTGGTTTGTTCTCCTCCACAGTAGGCTGTTGTTGATGGTATCCGACCAATGGATGTTGAGTATCTTGCGTCGACAGCCATTTATAAATACTTGTACCTTCTTGATGATGGTTGTAGTAGTTCTCCAAGTTTCAGCTCCATACAATCTAAGTAACTGCCTTGACGTTCGTATTGAAGATTGTGACTATGATATTGGTTGAAAGTTGTTTTGAGTTTCATATGTTCTTCAATTGAAGGAATGCGGCCCTTGCTTTGCTAATCCTCGCCTTTACGTCTGCGTCTGAACCTTCTTATTCATCGATGATGCTTCCCAGGTATGTGAAGGATTCCACATCTTCCAGAGTTTCGCCATCAAGAGTGATTGGATTGCTTTTCTTCGTGTTGTATTGGAGGACTTTGGTGTTCCCCTTGTGTATGTTGAGGCCTACTGATGTAGAGACCGTTACTACACTGGCTGTCTTTATCTGCATTTGTTCGTGTGTATGTGATAGGAGGGCTAGGTCATCTGTGAAGTCCAAATCGTCTAATTGGTTCTGAGCTGTCCATTGATAAAGATCACTAGAGACTAGGCTGATAATAATTCGTTTCAACTTAGAAAGATGTTGATGATCTGATGAATGAACATTGGACTTAAGTAATACAATCAATTACATAACTTTATGATAATACATTATGCAAATCTACTGAGACGTAACAATGTGAACTAGTGTATGCTAATTTAATGGTCAGATGATTAGGCATCCATATGAAGGTACTGGTTTCGGTCCCCTATAATAAGTTTATGGATGTTTATTGCTATTGAACAATCCCATACTAGAACAGATATATATATATATATATATATATATATATATATATATTGCATCTTAAGAACGCTAATCTATTTCACCAACTGTAATGCCCATTCAGAACTTCATTTTTCGATTAATTCACTTGTATTATCAGTAGAATTAGTGACCAACCAAGTATCAATTGTTACATCAACCAAAAAAAAACACTCAAAACCTTAACGCCAGTTAGCTGTCGAGACCATTCTAAACACAGTAGCCAATCAGAGGACGTGGATAGGAAACAGATTAGTTTCTTATTGTGCTTAAATTGATTTTGATTCAAAACATATACAGTAATATACTTCAAATTCCTGACCACAGAGGGCATTAAATAAGAAATCATGATTTAAACATAATCATAACATCATTGATAGAGAGCGAAACAAACAGTACCTGAGTAATTACCGGTAAATCTATATCATACTGACGACTTTGAGAGACCTATCAGACAACCAGGAAACGGTATCTGGTTATGAAAGAATCAATAGCAAAGAGCGATAAATTAATAGCTTTCATCTGAACAATGAACCTTCACATGTCAAATTATTTCTTGTAGCAAAAGGAAACGTAGGAATAGTATCGTGAGTTTGAGTTTTCACCCCAATAGATTTTTCGTCACTAACTAACTTTGATCATAATGGCAAAAGGTAAGGGTTATATATTATGAGTTTTAATTTGGGTTTAGAAATTAGGGTCGAGGTTTTTATAACGCTTTAACATCAGTTATAATCCAATACCTAGCCACTTTACTATTTACAAATTTAAGAAACTTAGAGTTGAGATTTAGAGTAAGAGTTAGAATAGTAGAATACCGCCTAGTTTCACTAAACACTCTTGACAACGCATTGAATCATTTCAGGTAACTTATCACATAATCTGCCTTAGAAGCAGATATTTTTCTCAATGTAGTTAGCACCATTCTAAATTCACTTTTTGGCTGCATAATATATATTTCTATTGACTTCAAGCTTTTTAAGGACCCGATGTTGCCAATTTTCATTTCGCCAATAATATGATACAAGTTATCTATCATTGAACTTCAAATTTTGTGCAAAATACATAGGGCGTGACTTTTCTTCCGATTGGTTAATCCAAAGCCGTAGGTATAATATAATTTTACCTGACTAGGAATATGGATATAATTTCAATTCACATTTTCTGTTTGCCTAATTTATTCTATTGTTTTCACACTTTCGTTTTCACAGGACAACGTACTACATCAACTCCAGCGCGAAATCATTTACCTAGATCACAACCAACTCCAACCTCAAATTTTACTAATATTCCTGCACAAGTCCCATACCCGACGGGTTCATCGCAAGTTCCATATCCAATGAGTTCATCTCAGGCTCCATATCCAATTAGTTCATCACAAGATGGAATGCCAACAGGAGCAGCAGTGATATCGTCGGGACCTAACTTAGATCAACCACCACCATATCCGGCATTATCTGAACTACCACCTCCCCCACCACCATATTATTCTAAAATAGACAATTCCTAGATAAAGAAAAAAGTATGTAGTTTACTGATAATATATGTTACGTTTACTGTAATCGAATTGATAGCATATTGTCTGTCTAGTGTTTAAACAAAAATTTCACATTATGTATAAATGGAGTATTATGCAATTAACTAAGAATTATTATTGATTCGTCATGATCTCACTAATGTGTAGCGTAAAAAGTGATTTTTTTCTGATAAGCATTTTTTAGCTAGTGTTTTTTCTACGGGATAGGGTTGCTGACTCCATGTCCAACTCTTCTCCTTTATTCGGGCTTGAGAGTGGCAGTAAACTTAGTAGGGCTTCAAGCGTGAATCATCAGACTGTATCACGAAGCAAGTCCTTAGAGTGGAATCTTTAGGGTAATAGGAAAAAAAGGGAAACAAAGAACACACTTCTTCGATAATTGGAAGCAGACATTAAAAGGATGAGTAACACTTGATAAAAACTAGAAAAGAGATCTCAGAAGAGTACACGTTTGAGATTCCTGGTCGATGGCTTATGCTCCACTAGGGGTAAAAAGGCTTAAGTAAGTAATGATCAAGGTTGAGGTCATTTATGTCTTGCGCATATGGAAAACAATCTGTGGTGCCTAAATCAAGCAAGTGTTTATGATTCATACAACTAACACATCATTCTTGATTGAGATCATGAATAGATCAATGTTTGACCACCATAAGGAACCTGAAAACACCAGACGACCGTTTCACCTTAGTATAGGACTCCTCAGCACTGCGGTTCGACAATCCTGCACATGAGAATCGAACCCAGGACCTTCGGTATCACGCGCAAACGCTTAACCTGTAGACCACTGAGTCAGTATTCAAAAGTGTTAATGTCGAACTTCAACCAATTCACAGTATTGCGCTACAATTCTTCATTGTGTTCAGTGGGTAACTATCTCACAGCAGACACAGTTGAACTCCATTGGTCATGGCTTTTCACAAGGACTCCAAGAATTTCCTCTTCAGGCTAGTAACACATCATTGTTAATTTACAGTAAAATATCAAATGATCTAGCTTAAATAACCATATTTACATTCAGGTTGGCAGAAAAGATTGGATGACATCAAACGGCTGACATTACAATATTTTGTATTCATTAACAATTGAATTCCTTCCGTACAACTTAACATTTATAAATATTAATAATAAAAGCAAAAATGGGTAGTGGCTAACATTGGAATCCACGACCCGCTTTTCTTCTTATTTGGGACTTGTCAACTGGATGTACTTGCATCTCACAGTTGATGTTCACTCTGGGACTCGAACCCAGTACCATCCACTTAGCTACTAAGTCATTATAGACAAGTGCTTGTGTATATTTGTCTATCTTTCCTTAGAATGTTTATGACTTCAGGTTATATCGAGTCAATACGCACAGTGTACATATATGCCAATATGAGAGACTGATCAATTCCAGTCCTAAACATCAATGGAAAGATTTAAATAAACAATATTCAAGTGAATGTTATTAATGATTTTAATGAAATTTATATTTAATTTCAGGCTATTCATATATTCATTACAATATGAAACGATAATAACATCTTAGTAATGAAATGGTTTCTATGCCCTAACAAATAAAAATCATCAAAATTATTGATTATTTTTTCTTTTTTTTTCAATTTGTAAACTATTGAAAATATTTTTATTTTGTTAATGTACAAAGTGAATATTTTTGTATGAATATAACAAGTTTTTTTAAAAAATAATAATAATCCACTTTATGACATAGAAATGAATTTGAAACTTTTTCCCACCCCCATCCCCATCCTCTTTCTAACCCCTTACCCCTCTTAATTTGTTTTAAAAATGGAACTTGTTCCAGAGTGATATCATCATATTACAAAATTGATCAATTTTTTTGTGTATGGTTGTCATGGTAACTAATTAGTTGATGGAATTGTTATTTAAACCGCTAATTATGTTTATTTTTTTAATTTTTATGTGTTCAGTTTATTGAAAGTAATTTTTTTTTCTTCTTATTCAAGGTATCTATATAGCTATTGATGATCAATATCTTATTAAATCACCCTTAATGGTATTTAAATACTTTCTAGTTAAGTTGATGTTACACCTTCTCAACTAAAAAAAAGACTGAGAAAGAGAGAGAGAGAGAGAACTGTTTGGTAATTTATTAGTAATATCCAAGTACAGTATACTGTGATGGATAACTGACAGTCGATTACATAACATGCTGTTTGTTGAATATGAGTAATAATGAATTCAGTATTGTAAATAAATATATTTTTTAAAAGAAACCTACTGTAAATCATTGAATATTATATTGATATTATAGTTTTTATATGAATATTTTATATTCTCGGTTCGAATCTCGCCAGAAGGGTGTTATAACTTGTGACCGCCGATTAGAGAGCAGTGATTTATCGATTAGGATCAATGAGGCGTAAACCAGAATAAGCAGCCCGGAGTCCTGATTGGTCCTCCTTTCCGCCTAGTCTAGTCAGTTATGTCCAGAACACCAATTTCAGCCTCTGAAATATAAATCATTTATTTCGAACATACTGGATGTATATGCCAATCAAACAGACCACAACATATCATAAAATAGAAAATAACATTTGTACAAAATCTGGCCAAAAGTGGCTGTGAATGAGGGAGGTGGTAATTAATAAACAGGAAATAATTCAAGAATAGAAAATCGTATAATAACAGTTCATAGGTTAAAATGAAGCTTATGACAAGAAAGGGATCGTGGATATGCACTACCACGGAGGAGTTTCACAATAAGATAAAACAGCTATCCAGTGCTTCCAGGTTTTCCATGGTGGTCTAGATATAATTGACTCATGATCTCAATTATTAAGAATACTTTATGGTTAAATGGCAACTATTGAACTTATCCTGGATGACATTGAGATCAATGTTTTTATTACAAATAATAAGAATGTCAGTCATATACCTTATGTATAAGTGAAGGTCGTCAATCGTCGGTTGATGTACTGCGTACATAAGATTGACAATGAAGCAATCCTCTAGAAGAGGGCTAGTTAATGAACTAATAGGGATGTCATCAGTTTGTCTAAAGATCTCATTAGTAATAAGTAATCTAGTGAACTCTGCTTTCGGTTCCTAAGCTCTTCTAGTAACCTCCAGGCTACATCTACACAGCAACAGAAACACTGGAGAAAAGTCGCGAAATATGGAAGAAAATGCTTTACTCCAAAGGTTCGTTTATGTACAGAAAATGTACGGTATTAATATTATTTCCGGAATATTCTGGAACTCTACTAAACATAGTAGCAGTATAGGTAATCATCCAATCAGAAACTCAATATGTGACTTTTCCTATTCTAGATGTTTCTGGCAAAACATCTTGTGAACAGTGATTGGATAAGATGCTTATCGATGTTTTCAAAGCCTTCTTTCGCTTTTTTCGAGGAGTTTTCTGGATCTAAATTAAACATTGAAAATTCCATTAGAAAATTTTTTAGAATACCAACATTGAGGTTGTTATTTTCAATATTGTCACATGCAAAGCATATGGTCTCCGTCGCGCCTGACTGAATTCACTGGGTTCGAATCCCACGTGAAGGATCGTGGATGCGCACTACTGAGGGGTCATATACTAGGATGAGACAATATTCTAGTGCTTCAAGGTTTTCAATAGCGGTCTTACATTGATCCATTTATGATCTTAATTAAAGCTCAACAACCTCGACAACGCTGTACTGAAAATTTAAAACAGATTAATGTTTTATGTCAAGAAATAGAGTGAAACAGATAGTTTGAAGTGAAAGAACACAATAAATTGATAGTATTTCATTAAAGAACCCTAATTAACTACAGCAAATTTTAAAGAATAATGGTATGAAGCACATCTGATGATTTCACTTCACTATGGTTTCTTCATTTATAATTATAAATACTTGAAATTATGATGCTGTCTGATGTAATACTCATACGAATAGTTCAATGGTATACTCTCTGACTGTAAAGCTGGATGACATAGGGTCGAATCTATTATTATGCAATTTACCATTCCCGAGATATAACCAGTCTATCAATTACAATCTCCCACATTCACAGCCACATTTAGCTAAATCTTGTACAAATGTTGTTTCCTATTTTATGGTATGATACGATCTGTTTGGTTTGTATAAAATCCGAGTATGTTTAAAATACATGATTCATATCATGGAGGCTGAGATTGATGTTCTGGACTTAACAGGCAGGGCTAGGCGGGAAATGGAACCGATAAGTTCTCTAGACTGATCATAAGATTTTTATGAGTCATTGGTCCGGTCTATAATTCACTGTTCTCTAATTGATGATTTCATTACGCTATAAATTAATAGGACACAGGGCACAAGTTATAAAAGAATCTATCATGAAACATGAGTTATTCCAAAATTACAGGTGTATCTCATTAATGAATGCCAAACAGTATGATACCTAGATCTAGGGTTTCCCTATTACTTATTTCCAACCATCCACCACTCTACAATATTTACATGGGAAATAATAAAATCACACGACATATTTTGTTGTTAAAAGTACTTGTGAAGATTTTCTTATTTACTTATTATTATTATTATTATTATTATTATTATTATTATTATTATTACTATCCCAGAAGAGAGATTTCGCCTTGAGGAGTTAAGCAAATATGCAGAGTTTTTATTATGAAATGAAATTGGTTTTGTTATTGAAGGGATGTGGGGGGGGAGGGGTAAAATGTAATTACATGGTTGATACTAACGTATTTCTTATGTTCTTGGTAAAGAAGAATTGTAATGAAATTATATCATAGTGAATGATAAATGTATCCTTTGATGGTTAGAAAAAAACAATAATGAGATAATGATGAATTTACTAAAGAATAGAAACGTCAATGAAAGGCTGTGAACATATGTAGACTCATAAGTATTTTTACTTGATGTTGTTTTACTTGTATCTTCTTATTGTTCTTAAGAAGTGCAAATGATCAGTTTCTTGTTAGCATATGAGCATTCTGTACCGATTGCCTCGATATAACCTGAAGTCACAAGTTTTATAAGCAAAGATGGATGGAGGCTAGCAGTGGAATCTAGTTTGATTATCAGGACTCAGTAGCTAAATGGATAACCCAATGATGTTTGAAGCAAATGGTACTGGATTGAAGTCCCGGAGTGAATATGAACTCTGAGATATATGTACATCCAACTGACAAGTTCCAAATAGGAAGAAAAGCGTGTCATGGATTTCAATGCTAGCCACAATCCATCTTCGCTCACAATTACATGATTACTGACAATTAACCAATATCATATTTGTACATTCGTCTAGTACTGCAGACTGAATTCGATCAATGAAGTTGAAATGCGGCCATTTTTCGGAATGACTCGACATTACATGTGAGGTTATTGAAAGTATCTGACAAGAAACCATACTTCCTCTAGGTTTCATGCTAGATGGCACTTTTCAATAAAATATACAAGTAATTTTAAAGCAAATGATGATCTCTCGTGGATTCGCGACTACATTGTCCAATTTTGCAATAAAAGATGGGCTTAAATCAACCAGGGAGAATCAGTTCCTTTAAAATGATAAGTACATCTTGCGGATTGGAGTCAAATAGTTTTAAACCTAGATTCAGGGTTTCCAATCGATCATTTTCAACCATACAGTATTTCTAGACTACTTGAGTTGAGAGAAGACAAAATAATGACATAAAAATCAATACATTTACCATGCCTATGTATTAAAAGAAAGTTGTAGATTACAAATAGGCACACCACATATGAATAGGACTAACAGATGATAAACAGAAGAAATCATAGAAGACCAATAAATGATTGACTTTCAGTTATAAATTATAACCCTTTCGCTATAGCATTACCGTCAGAGTAAGTGTAATGAACGAGAACACAGGCGGGGACAAACAGACGTATCTGAACACAAATTACAGACTATCTTGTTAGAATCTGAGTACCATACAGTAAATACTTTATTTGCAAAATATCCATCAATTGTCTCACACTTGGTTGTTTGTTTATTTCCATACCAATCACTCTTTGTTCTCATTCTCTTCTCTTCGATCTTCTCAATCTCTGCCGTTAGGCATTCCACTTCCAACTGATGATACATACTACTTATATCAGCAGTAGTGCACACCATGATAGAAATCAAAAAATGTAGATAGAATTTAATTGAAATAAAATAAGAAACACTGAATAGACATTATAGTTATCTCTTGCTGTAGCCAGACATTAGAGGAAACGTAAATGAACCAAACCAACAAAGGAGAATGGTCTGGATTGTACAAAAGATACTTTGAACTTGACATAAATATCAGTTAAAGATACGATATAAATGAACAGTTATCAAAACTGATTTTACAAAATTAAATCTAAAGAATGAACTACTACATATATAGAATTATTTAAGCACTTAAATATCATGGTGAATAAACAAGTACGGTAGTGAATAGGAAGCTATGGATCTAGGTTTCGTACTATTCGACACTCATCAGCGATGTGTATCGTGTCACATAACTTCACAGTTTGAAACAATACCACCGAAATATTCCTGTTTAATT